TTTTTTTTCAATTCTTCCTTGAAAGGTTTCCCTGAGTAATCAAACACACTGACTTCATGTACAAATTTACATTTATTCCTTCACTTCGTAAGAGAAGGTAAATAATCCTTGAATACTATTACTAATAGATGCTATTGGGGACTACACAGAGATATCGATACGAATTGAACACCATATAATGAGTGTCGCAGATGGAAAAAAACCCAAGTCGAGAGAACGAAGAGAATTTCGAGCGAACAATAAGCATAAGATAAAATGATATAGGAAATGAATTGAGAAAGCTATGACATGCACCAATATCAGGCAGAACGAAACCCGTGAGGAATGATGATGAGAGAAGGCGAGAAACAAATGATACATAATTTTTGCATAGACGAAAAAATTGGTCGATCTATTGCAAGTGGAATCGATAAATCGATATGCGTATAGTCTGAGTTTGATGAAATTTGGCTAGACAACGTGTGGTGTTGGTCGTGGTCTCCTGGAAAAATCCCGCTCTTTACGAATTGCTCCTACATCGGGTTCGGTCAGGTACTCTCTGAAAATGAACATGTTCAAAAATGTGGTAACTTTCAAGGTTTTCGCTTTTGTCGCGCACAATTGGTCGCTGCCAACTCTAATTGGTCGGCTTACTGACATACCATCTCTCATTGGTCAATTGCTCGGAATCGATTTATCTACTGTAGGAAAAGCGCTTTTGATTGCAACACGTCTATCATGGATGTGTGCAAGTGCACCAAAAATTGCCTTGACGTCATCTTACCCTCCTATTCGAAAAGATTCAACAAAGTTTGCAGAATTTGACGTTTTCAAGCCAGCGCAGTGTTCCCTTCATGCATTTATTCACTTGTTTGACAAATGCTTGCGTAGAGCGGGGGAGAGCGAAGGAACCAATGAATGGAAGAGTCAAATTTAGTTATTTTTTGCGCCTTAGCAAGAGAATTTCTCATTTTTTGGAGGAAAAAAGGGAGGATTATTTTTTGAAAAAGGCACTCACCTAAACTCTCCGTCATCATTCGGATTCAAGGCATCCTTCGATGAGCCTCTGCTGCCTACTGGCTGACGACAACAGTATGAACAACAAAAGCACAACGTAATGAATAACACTATGGCTAGTGTGATCACACCGAGCACTAGCAGTGTCATGTAGAAGGAATTGGCCTTGATCGAGCCAAGCATTGACACCTGAAACATCCCTAATATTAGAGTTTCGGGGCAATGGCGAGCATAATTAATGCGAGATTAGCGCCGAAACATTGTACTTGGCTCAAGTACAACTTTTGGACGTTGCAATCTCTGCTACAATGGAAAATGCATGAAATTTGTAGTTCGGAGTAGGGTGTGAGCACAAACCTTGGGTGGCCGAAGCTTTACGCAGTTGTACATTTCAATATTACGATTTTCCATATAGACGTTCGTGATTGTACAGGGTAATTCGCAAAGTTCCAAACATTGTGTGCGATTTGGGAAGGTATGCGTGACTAAATAACA